CCAGGCAGACAAGAAGAGGGAGGGCAGGGGAAGAGTGAGCCCTGGTTACAGAAGGCACAGCACCCTCTCCATCATTTTAGCCATGTTGTAGCTGAGGCCATGGAGGCTACACAAAGATGCCACAGTCCCTCGGTCTCCCAGACAGCTTAAAAGTGACTCTTCACCACTGCCTCGTGTGCTCCGTAGATACCTCCTCGTAGAGTATCTGTGCCTTTCTTCCTCCGAGGTAGCAGTAACCACCCTGCCCTGTCATTTGGGGGCAGGGGAAAGAAAAGATGGTGAGGCAAGACATCTGTGTACACAAGAATATGCCTTTTCTGTACCAGAAAGCTCTCTGCAAAATTCAGGATGAAGGATTGTGGGAGCCCTGGTTCGGTTTGGAGCTCAGGCCTCGATGAGCAGAATGGATGGAGAAAGGCATGGGTGTGTTGCCCCAGCCAGGAGATCCAGCTATGGCACCCAGCCCTCACCCCATGGCAGCAGTCCACTTGGACTGGAGTTCTTGAGCAGCTCCAGGAACACAGGATCTTGCCAGGTCTCCCGACTTTCTGTCAGAAACAGTGGAGGTAGCTGGCAACCGGATCTCCTTTCTGGCCTGGGCTTTGGGTGTGGGCTCGGCCTGACCTTCTGTCTCTCAGACCACTGACTCTGATAACAGTGTCTGCATCTCTGGTTCTCTGCCTGTGGAGCATCTTATCTCACCCCCTTTGATTGGGGTGTTCCATGATTTGAGGTTCTTTCTCTTTAATTCAGGTCAACAATCTTGCCAAATCATAAATATTTGAGGCTTTGCAAGAGATACAGCCTCTACCACAACTATTCAACTGCACTGAAGACATTATGTAAATGAACAAGCGTGGTTGCATTTTAGGAAAGTTTTAATATAATTTTCACATACTATGAAATGCTATTCTGTTTCTTTACAGCCATTTAAAATTAAAAATTGTCATACTTTGTGGGCTGTCATCCCCCGCACTCCCACCCCCCAAAAAAGGCAGTGAGCCAAATTTGGCCCTCTGGCCATATTTGCCAGCCCTGGTTCTAACTTGCTTTCTTCTAGTAACTCCAACCTATGTAGGGATGGTAAAGGGAGAGAAAGCCCCCATCTGGAGGCTCCTAAGCTCGTGTGTTAAAAAATACTAAGCAAAATTGTTAAATAAAGTTTGACTCACCGTGACCCTAAGTGTTGCAGAGTAGGATGAGGGGCACAAGCTGCCAATGTTCTGATCTGCACCACTGGGGACCTGTGATAGCCCTCGTATAATCGGCTGCCATGAACTAGATTCCATCTCACAGCAACTCTATGGGGCAGAGAAGAGCTGGTCCTATGGGTTTTCGAGACTAAATCCTGATGGGAGCAGGCAGCCTCATCTTTCTACTAGAGCTAGCTGGTGGGTTTGAACTGCCAGTCCTACCCACTCTGCTCCTAGTCAATGGATATGTTAGTCCGTGTAGACTAGAAAAACAAATTCATAGACACTCATGTGTATAAGAGCTTTATATACAAGAGCCATTGAGTATTGAGAAAACATCCCAGTGAGTCCAGATCAAGTCCAGAAGTCCAATAATAGCCCATATGTCCAATAACAATCTATAAATTCCTCTTCAGACTCATGCAGCTCATGCAATGACACTGAGTGCAGGAAGATCACAGGCCAGTGGGTGGAAAGTCTTGTGGATCCTGTGGCGATGGAAGCATCTCAACGCTGACAGGGGTCTCCATGTACCTGTTCCAGGGCTCTAGCGTAGTTCCATGTGTCTTGTCAGATGGAATGTCTGAAGGGAGTGAGTCTGTGTCCCACCTCCTGTGAGCTCCTTAGCACTTCCACATGAGGTCATCGGGTTGCCACCTGATTGACAGGCTAAATTCCACCCTTTCACTCATAAGTCAAATTGAGAACAGATTATGTAACTACTACAATGGATAAGAGCCATTATAAGCTACCTGCAGGGTTTTGAGTGAAGGGTTTCCCCATTGGAAATTATAAAGCTGTAAAAACAATGCATAGTCATGGTCCTAACCACTTGTGCAGGAAGCCACTGAGTCGTTGGCTCTTGACTTGAAAAGAAGAGGGGTATTTCCCAAACCCGATCAAATTCTCAGGACCGTAAGCTGACCAGAGCTGTACTCTTATTGGCAGAGCCGTCCCTTTCATGTGACCTTCCACGCAGAGAGACTTTGAGTCCAGTCCAGAGGTTGCTGCCAAGTAGCTCTATCGTGTTTGGGCAAGATTCTTAACTTCTGAGCTTCATATTCTACTATTCTTCATCTAGAAAAAGACATCACCTCTCTCTAGTGTGTTTGAATTCCATAAAAACATTATGAATCTGATTAAACAGAGATAGGTGAATGACCAGTACTCCTTAACTGTTAGGGTGCTGCTGTATTAATAACCACATACTGGGTTTGGACTCTGGAGTGTTCCGCCCATTACAGGCCACTGGCTTAAAAGGGAAACAAAGAAGGGCCCAGGCGTATTTCTCTGGCAGTGTGAAGAGCAGAATGTGCTTTGATTCCAGAATACTTGTATTCTCTGGATGGAAAATTCCTCAGTCAATAGAGACTATTCTACTACCCTAGCTTAATGGGAAATATCTCTTATCAGTACATTTAACTCCTTCTGTACGGACCTCCAAGGACCTCTGGCAGCATAGTGTATACTCGTTGGGCTGGTCACTACAAGATCAGTGGTTCAAAACCACCAACACTCCATGGGAGAAAGGTGGGACTTTCTAGTCCCGTAGGCTCAGAAACTCACAGGGACAGTTCTGGCTGCCCTGTAGGGTTGCTGTGAACTGGCATCGGCTCGATGGCAGGGAGTGTAGTGGTCTGTTCTTGTCATTTCGGGGGAACAGACCCTCAAGGCACTCTGGTGCTGCCAGGTAAGCTTATTGGGACTGCTAACTGCAAGGTTGGAAGTTCAAACCTACCAGCCGATTTCCGGGAGAAAGATGAAGCTGGCTGCTGCCATAACGACTTGCCAGGCCTTGGAAACCACAGATAGCATGACTGAGTTGGAACCAACTGTGGTAATGGGCTTGGAATGAACTCTGGTGGCTTGGCTACTGACCAAAAGGTAGGGGGTTTGTACAGCACCCACTCACTCCCACCCCCATTCCTTGGAAGAAAAGGCCTGGCTCTCTGTTCCTGTAAAGATTACAGCTTAAGAAGCCCAGTAGTTCTATGTTGTCCTGCAAGGCCCACGTTGTGCGTCCAGACCAGCTCAATACGCAGTCACAACTACTTCCTCTTTATGCTCAAGAAACACATTTTTAACTAAAATTTTTAACTTAGTGGTTCCCATTCCTGAAGCAAATGATCTATGAGAGCTGTTCCTCCGAGATGTGTCCTGTGAGGGACCTGGCAGTATGAGAAGGCTGAGCCTGAGTAAATTCTTAAGTCATTCAGTGTGGGAATGGGGCATAACAGATCAGCAATTGGAGTAAAACCGATCCACAGAGCCCTTGAGGAACCCCAAGAATGGACTTTGGCCTAGGATCTCCCCTAGACCAGGGGGAAGGGACTCGTGGGGGCCAGCGAACATACCTGGACTTATGTAGAGTTTTTTGTCTTTTCTCCTTTTTTCAACCATATGTTTTCTTATTGTTCAGAATAGGACATTGCTGGTTTGTCTACTTATATGGGATGGACGTGGGAGGGAAGCTTGGGGAGAAGGCAATGGGGCCAATGGCCTGGAAGGTCTAGGGGGAAGAAGGAAGTGGGGAGAAGGGTGTGGTGAGCGGATGGTGTCATGGACAGGGGAGCAACTAGGTAATCCAAACCAACATCTAGGAGATGTTAGAGATTCTGTGAGTATCAGAGCAACACAAAGCTAGTGGAGAGGAAGCACTAAGAGGTGGAAGAAGCGGGAAAGTGATGGCGGGGTAGGAGGAGGCAGAAGGAAACAGGCAAGCTCTAGGAAGCAAAGGCATAGATAGGGAGATTTAACTGAGGTGTGCACTTATGTGAACACATTTACCCATAAAAATAGAGCTATTGACCTACATATACATGTATTTATAAGGCAATACACTGAGGCTGTGGATGGGCCTTGGGCCTCGGCTCATACCCTCCCTCAATACAAGAACACTTTGTTCTAACAAATTGGCATTCTGTGATGTTCACCCCCACCCTCCACCCCCTACAGATCCACCTTCCCTCAATACAAAAACACGTTGTTCTAACAAATTGACATTCTGTGATGCTGACCATCCCAACACCCCCTACACAATCGCTGAAGACACAATAGGTGCATAAGCAGATGTGGTGAAGACAGAGGATAGTGCCCGGCTATTAAGAGATATCGTGTCTGGGGTCTTAAAGGTTTGAAGTTAAACAAGCGGCCATCCAACAGTGAAGCAACAAGCCCACATGGAAGAAGCACACCAGCCGGTGTGATCGTGAGGTGTCATCGAGACTGGGCAACAGGCATCAGAAGATTCACAACAAATAGTAAACAAACAAACAAAAATGCATTGGTGAGAATGGAGGGGCTTGGAGCAGAGACCCAAAGCCCATCTGTGGCCAAAGCCATATCCCCTGACAGAGGGGTCGCAGGGAGGGGATGAGTCACTCAGGGTGCAGTCGAGCACCGATGGATCACATAATATACCTCTGATCCCTTGAGGCCTCCTCAGCCCCACTATCATGACCCCAGTGCCGCTGCCCGTACTGGACTAGAGGGGAGCATGTCCATAGGTATAGGCAAGAGATAAAACTCACACCACATGAAACCCAGCAACAGGAATGGGAACAGCAATACCAAAAAGGTAGGGGGAAGAGAGGTGGGGAGGGAGGGGGCACCAATCGCAATGAACGGCACATAACCACACACCCCCATCCAGGGGGAAGAACGACAGAAACCAGAGGGGAAGGGAGACAGCGGTCGGGGTGAGATTTGAAAATAATTAACAATTTATAATCTATCAAGGGGCCATGAGGGTTGGGGAGGGAGGGAAACAAAAAAAGAAGCTGATCCCAAGGGCTCAGTGGAAAGAAATGTCTAGAAAAGAACAATGAAATATATGTACTAATATGTTGGATACAATTGATGTATGGATTGTAACAAGAGTTGTGAAAGCCCCCAATAAAATGATCTGAGAAAAAAAATTCTTAGTCTTTAATCAACTCCGAGTAGCCTGCTAAGTGCAGTGCATGATGTTAAGGGGATGAGCGCCCACACTCCCACTGCCCAAAATGAAGCCCAAGCAGCCGGCCAGCTACCTGCTTTGACAATGCTGGGTTTATGAACAAGTATAATGAACTGCTCTCTGGCCCTTTTCCCACTGCTGCAGCAAGCTCCGGAACCAGGCACGGAGTCAGCGATATGAGAAGGTAAAGTGCCGAAGCCCCTTTCCCTTGCCTAGCTCCCTGTCTCTCCTACTTGCACTGAAAGGAAGCAAGGAGGAGAGCCAGTTCAGACTCCCGGTCTGGGCTTCCTCTGTGACCTTCCCATATACTGATCCCTCCGCTTCCTGTCTTTGAGACTGGCTTGTCCCAGGCAGTGCCCCAAACCGAACCCCCTCAGGGCATCCCTCTGAGGCGTAGCCAAGAGCGCCTTCATTGGTTAGTTCTCCCCTGGCCCTTTGATGCCTCTAGCTCCTATGATTGGGTTCTTCTGACCTCATGATGCCTCCTCTTTTCTTCCTTGGTTTCCCAGGTGGTGCTGAAAGGTGATGCCAAGAAGTTACAGAAGTGTGGGGTGAGTGTCCCACGGCGGCTTGGTGGGGAGCCCCTCAGTAAGCCGAATGGAGTCTTTCTTCAGCTCCCAGCCAGGGGCTTTCAGGAATCTTTTCAGTACTTGCCCTCTTGCCTTGGCTAGATAAAATGGCCTTGATCCCACAGGTAATCAATTTGTTGAATTCCTGTTCTATAGACCTGGCCCAAGCTGAAAACAAAGCCATCTTAAACAGGCTTTTGGAAGTCTCGATGGGCAGGCAGCGCCCCTGTCGCACTAGGTCAGCCTTCCATCTCACCAGTGAGAAACACGGGGCAGCTCATTGTGCCTTGATGTTCGGTTCCCAGGCCCTGGTTTTTCAGGAAAGAAAATAAGATCCTCATTTTTGTCACAGTGAAAAAAGAGAAGAAAGTCTGTATGCCCTGCTCAGAGAAGACGAGCCTTGTTGGTACAGTGGATAAAGTTGGCAGTTCAAATCCACCAGCTGCGCCACATGAGAAAGAAGAGACAGTCCATTCTAGTAAAGAGTTTCAGCCTTGGAAACACTCTGGGGCCACTCTTCCCTGTCCTCTAAAGTTGCTGTGAGACAGACTTGATTCCGAGGCAGTGGGTTTGGGCTTCGTTTTGTGTTTGTTTGATGGCCTGCTCAAACTATGAATGCGAACCGTGTTAGCTGCCTGTCAGGGTTTCCTGCCTTCCTCCTCTTCCCCTGCACAGCCTCATTCCAGAGGGCCCCCCAGCTCTCGGAGAGCAGGCCATCTCCGGTTCCCTTCCCCTCCTTTGAGGTCACAGACACACCTGCACTCTGTAGGCTGCGCTCGCCGTTGTCCGGAGAGGGGAGGATCCCCAGACATGGCCTCATCCCATCCTCTTTTGATGGTCACGCTTGCATCTCAGCAAGCTACAATGCGTCCAGAACCAAGGTCTAAGTAAATCTTCTGGGAACAGTGGTTAAGGGGAAATGGAGTGTGGACAGAGAGGAAAATGCATCGGGACCTGAAGAACGTAGCTGGCCACCCCCCCCACCCCCGCCCCTGATCTCCAGTTGCTGCTGGTGCTCACCAAGTGCGCCGGCCTGCCAAGAATGAAAACCACCCTGGGGGCAGTGTTGTCCGCCAAGCTTCATGTGGGTGGAAGTGTTCCTTTGCTGCTGTGCAGTAGGGTGGCCACTCGCCACAGGAGGCTGATGGGCACTTGAAATGGTGCTAGTGTGGCTGGGGAAATACTTTTTGTATTTCATTTTATTGGGGCTATTTTAAATGTAAACGACCTCAGGTGACTATTAACCACATATTATCAGTGCAGACATTTGTTTGCTTAATGGGGTCTGGGTGAAAGTTTACAGAGCGAATTGGTTTTCCATGCAGGCACTCCTACGACTGGTGTGCTGTAGCACTGATTGCAATGGAGCCTCTTCCGCTTCCTCCCTGTGTTCGTCACTTCGTCCTCCTCTCCTGTCCCGTCTGCTTTCTGACCTTTGCCCCTGGGTAAAATGTGGTCCTTTTCATCTCTTAGGAGTGGTTGTCTTCAGGAGTAGTATGCTTATAGGGTTTTCTCCTCAAAATTGACACCCCAGACTCAAAGGATGTCTAAGGGCGATAGTCTCAGGGGTTCTGCCTTGTTGGACCACTTGGGCTGATATTCCTTGTTTTGAGTTTTGATCCACGGTTTTTCCCTCCTCGGGACCTCTTCATGTGCTCCCTTTCAGAGCAGTTGGCAGTGGTATCCGGGCAATTAGATGGCCCATTGTTAGTCCTTTGGACTAGTTGTTTCCACGCATCCTCGTTTTCTTCGCGTTTTGCTCCTGAGAGACGGATACTTCCCAGTAGATGCAGTTTCATAAGCTATGGCTAAGCCTCTCTGGCTGAGAGAAGAGTCTGGGCTAGGACTTCGTTTCCTCAGACGGGGCTGAGATCGTGGACAGTCGGGTGGATGAGTGTGGTCCCCGTCTGATGGTGTTGCCTACAACCTCCACTCCACAGAAAACCTGTGCCGTCTGTCTAGAAGACTTCAAGGGAAAGGACCAGCTAGGCATGCTCCCATGCCAACATGCCTTTCACCGGAAGTAAGTCCTCACTGGGATGTGTGCCCGGGCACCCTTTGAAAGAGAAATAGGTAGAGGGAATCTTCTAGTACAGTGGTTCTCAACCTTCCGAATGCCGCGACCCTTTAATATAGTTCCTCATGTTGTGCTGACCGCCCCCCCAACCATAAAATTATTTTCATTGCTAATTCATAACTGTAATTTTGCTACTGTTAATGAATTGGGCGACCCCTGTGAAAGGATCATTTGACCCCCCCAAAGGAGTTGCGACCCACAGGTTAAGAACCGCTGTTCTAGTACCTCCCAGTTTCTTCCAGCTCCCTTCTGCCCCTTTGCAAGTGATGACTTAAATCCTATCTGCTCTGGGTAACACCAGGCAACCAGAGAGGGGTTAGATTTGGGGAAGGGGCAGGGATGTTTTTCTTTCTCTGAGAAGCAGCTGGAATCTAAGGACAATAGAGAGCTTGAGCAAAGTGAGGTGTATGATCTAAGAGGATCATGGGTCTTTTTATGCCCACAGATGCCTGGTGAAGTGGCTAGAAGTACGCTGCGTCTGCCCGATGTGCAACAAGCCCATTGCTGGACCCTCAGAGCCCAATCAGGGCATTGGGATCATGCTGGAGGAACTGGCATGAGTGCTGCCTGAACAGGAAGACCCAGAGAAGACCCCTTCCCTCGGGATGCCTGGTCCCCTTACACAGCTACCTTGACTAAGACAATGGACTGGTGATCATCATGTTCCCCTAGAAGAGGAGGAGGATGCGGGCCTGGTCTGTGCCAAAGGGTGACTCCAGTGCTACCCTTGCCCCCTCCGTCCACCTCCTGAAGCTACTTTCCCTTTTCAGCACCAATGGTTTCGCCCATCAAGACCACTGCATCCTGGTACCAGACTCTACACCTGACCGATTCTCTGCTCTCGGGAAAGAAAACACATGCGTCTCTGGTCAAGAGCACTTCCCCCTATGAGGTTCCCTTTGGAAGACAAGCCAACATGACCGCAAAGAAAGGATGGGATGGAGTCTGCCTCATCTGAAACCTCCCTCCTCTTCTCCCTCTTCTCAGAGGAAGGCTTGAAGGGAAGGACAGGCACATCAGGGAACCAAATGCCTCTCGTGGAGGTCAGGGAAGCAAGGAGGAGCAGGGCCACATGCAAGGAAACAGTCAATGTTTACATGGGAACTGCTGACACAGGCTGGCTGGCTGGCTCCCATTGGAGGTGCTATCCAGTTTCTCTCTTCCTCAGTTACTCTCGGAGCTTTCTATTGGATGTTGGGGTTTGAGGGCCTCTCTGGAGCGTGAGCATGTTTTTCACTCATTGGTTCCCAGAGTGGTGTGGGGTTTTTCTTCTCCCCTAAAGAAGCAAAAAAAGGACCTTGGGAGGTGGGGGTGGGGCACAGGGTATCTGGAAGAGCAGAAACCTCCTTTCCCTTTGTAACTAGTATTTTTATATAACACCCTCACCATCTCAGGTATGATACATGGACTCCCCAGAATGGAAGGGTCTTGGGGTGGTGGGTGGGCCTTCCATTCCTCCCCAGAGTGGGTGACAATGGGCAAAGGGTATGTATTTAAAGAGAATTAAATTTAATAACTTTGTCTAACCTTTTGCCTGTGGTTGTAGCCTGGTGAGCCTTTCTGCCAGTAGAGGGGAAGAAGTCCTCTCTCTGTCTCCTCTCGCTGCCCTACGCTCAAAACCTGAATTCAGCTAGGCACTTTTTTTAAGGAAGTTGACGTATTCCACCACGTATTTTGTTTGACAGAGACATGAAATACTTGCTTTGGGAAACCAGATATGTTGAGTTATTGGAAACAGAAGGATTTCTCTCAAGCTGTCTCCCCCAAATATATGCCAGACTTAGCTGCTTGAGAATGACTATACACTTGGAGGTCATCAGGAGTAGATTAGGGGTTAATCTCCCTAAGAGCAGCCATCTAGACAAAGCAGACACCACTGTTTATCCCACACAAGTAGGGCCCACTCCCTTCTGAGAAGGATGGTAGTTGTCTGTTTCCTTGTAGGAGACACCAGAGATGTCAAACCCGCCCAAGGATGACCAAGTTAGGCTGCCATCGTGAATCTAGGATCTGCCCATCTTGTCACATGTATACCCCTAGACCTTCCCATTCCTATGTGCACACCCCTAGTTCATCCCCTTCCTGTTACGCTTATGCCTATCATAGATCCCCTTCCTACAACGTGTATGCCTATTGTACTTCCCCTTCCTGTGATGTGTGGTTACCTGTAATCATGTCCTCCTAAAGAGATATAACGTTTGGTCAGCAATAAAGAAGGGAGCTCTCCCCTGTCCTCGTCCCTGGGGGCTCTCCTGCTCTTCCCCCGCCCCCCCAGGCTCTCTCCTGCTCTCGTGGCCGGGCTCTCGCCACGAGGACCACCAAGTGGGCTGAGGTGAGCATGCTACCATGAAATGTGTCTGACTCCATTATCTAACTCTGACCTCTACCTCTCGTGCTCTCTATGACTTTACTAAAATCTTTACTTATTATCACTGTACAATTGTGCCTACCAGACCTGGGATGATTTGTGGGGGACCCTCTCCCTTCACCCCACATTGGGTGATCACATTTCCACAACAGAGGGGACTCCAGCTCTGATGGTGTGGAAGTGAGAATAGAGTGGCCTACCGGAAGCTAATCCCGGAGCTGAGTGTTGGAGTAACACGGGCAGAGAGTGCAGGTATTTTAGTAGGACGTGGACGTGGGGAGAGGCTGGGGCAGGGTAGCTGAGGTTCGTTCTGTGGGTGCTGGGACTCCTGACATTTCCTTGTCAGTGCCAGTTGATTCCAGTTCATGGCATCGCTTATGTGCTCGAGTAGAGCAGTGCTCCACAGTTCCCCATGGCTGACACTGAGGCACATTACCAGGCATCACTTCTGGGTGGACTTGAGCCACCAACCTTCCAGTTAGGTGGATTGAGTGTTTACTTAACCCAGGGATGCCTGAAACTTCCTTAGACGGCTTTTATAGAAAACACGGGGAACTGTTGGAAAATTATGCCAACTCTTTTCTCTTCGGAACACAAAATATAGATCAATTACAGTGTATTTGGCATTAAGGAAAATGAGGATCCCGCTGAAGGAAGGCGGCAGCAGCAGTCGTTCACCAGCATCTTCTGTGACGGTACCTATTGGCCAACGAACATCTACTCTGTCCACCAAAAGACTGAGTGTTAACCCACCACCACGATCTTGCACGAGATTCACTTAGCTTGTGTTTTTAGAAAAGATTGTTGGAAAAGCTAAATGGCTTATCAGTAATTACCCAGATACTGCATAACAAGGGCGACACACACATGCTGACTGAGCATCCTAAGTTCTGGGCTGGCTTCACTCCACAAATCTTCAGAAGCAGATTAATCTCCATGATAATAAGAAAGGAGCAGGTGCTACTGGCTAATGGAGTTGTGGAAAACAAAAGCCCCAGATAATTGTCCAATGATTTGTGTGTTTGTCATAACTTCATGGTGGGTTACTTTGTAAAGAAATTGTAGATAGAATCTTCATGTATGAAATAGGTTACAGAAGAATTTGCCAATCCCCACCTGGTATTTGGGAGCAATGGGTACCTTGAGAAATCTGACCTTCTTTTCACTTGTCTCCCACTTACTCTTCCACCCTGACTTGCGGTTTCCTCCTCCACTGCTGGCTCCCACCTCCCAGTTGTGCTGTTTTCCCTGCGCTGAGGCCTCTCTTCCTTCTGCTTCCCAGTCTATGGCTCTTGGTCTCTGGCCGTCAGGATAATATCTTGGGTGCCTCTGACCATAGCACTCGGTCACAGGTGGATCTTTTGTTAAAGCCATATTTACAGAATCGCAGAATCTGACGTGATCACATTGGAGCCAAGAAAGACAAACTGGCAGTAATGTGGATTTGTAGTACAGGCCACTGGTATGTGCACGGGAGGTGGGCAGGATCAAGCCATTTACTATGCTTCATACAACCAACAGCAATGGGTTCCAACTGATTCCATATAAAAAAAACACATCACAGGCCCACTATGTAGACAGAGAGCCATGAGAGGGGCCATGCTTGGGGCCCGGCTCCTGAATCTGTCCCCGTGTGACAGCCTCAACAGCACACGAGAGCCTGGGCTCTTGCGTTGAAGGAGAAACTCCGGCGGCAGCACCAGAACCCCCCTGCCGCGGAGTCGATTCAGACGCCAGCATCTCCGTGGGACAGGAGAGATTTGCCTCATGGAGTTTCCAAGGCTATAATCATAAGAGAAGCTCTAGTGGCTCGGTGGTTAAGAGCTTGGCTGCTAACCAAAATGTGGCCAGTTGACCCCATCAGCCACTTGGCAGAGGATAATATGTGGTTTGGTTCCAGTAAAGATTAGCACCCAGGAAGCCCTATGGGGGCTGGGGTGGGGGGAGGGAGGGTTCTTCTCTGTCACTGAGTCGCTGTCCACTGCCCGGCAGTCAGTGAGATGGGGTTGAATCTTCGAAGATTAAAGTGGACTGCCGGGACCTCCACCCGTGCAGTGGCTGGTGGTTCCCATCACCAACCTTTCCATGAGCCACCCCTCGCCACCACAGCGTCACTAGCAGCACCACAAAGCATGAGAAATGGTTCCTGGTGGCTTCCGAGCACCCTTCGGTCTTCGTCCATCACCTCCACTGGGGTTATGCACCAGCATATTTTTTTTAAACCCTGTGTTCTTTTTCCCCAATGCCTCCCTCCCACTTCCTTTTAAAGAGAGTGAGGCATGGCCCTTCTGGGTGAACCCAGAGCCCCAGCCTTCAGGTGGCGATAAGCTTTCACTCAAGCCAGGGCCTTCGGAAATGTCTTCAGCTAGGGCTTCTAAGGAAAAACTCTGGGGAACCATGAAAAATCTTAGGCAATAAGTTTCTCCTCTGAGCACACTTACTCCTCCTCCCACGTCGTCTCCAATATGGTTGGCCACATCAGTGCCACTCCAGTTCCTCCTTATGGGTCATGAATGCTGCAAAAGATGCACAATTACTACGGCTTTACACCTGTTAAATGCTATCAGCTCACACGGGCTAACTCGGAGCGCCTAGATGTTCACTATTAGATAGGTCCAGTAAGTCTTCAGAGGGGGTACGTACCATTCCCAAGAACAGGAATATATTAATGAAAAGATGCAGTGCGTGTAAAGGCAGTAAACCTAAACCACATAAAGGGAAAAGCAGATTCACTTAATTAAGTGTGGGAGAAACTGATGTGGAAAATATAGTAAACATCAACTTTGGGCATAAGTTAGAGCAAATCAAAACAAATCCAAAATGTATTAGATGGACTTTAATGAGGCAGGAAGTCATTTCCTCTGCTTTACTCAGTATTGACCAACTCTGTTGGATTCTTTTTTTTTTTTTTAGGATTGAATTCTTTTATGTAGATTTGAAGTCAGCAGAAAACCTAATAAACTGTACCCCAAAAAATCCTATTTAAGTTCCATAAGGATAAAATCAGAGCTTGAAAATCTTGAGGGGAAAAATTACACAACCAAACCATCTAGAAACACTGTTTGCATGCTTTTAAAATGCCTTTATCCAGAGCCACCAACCATCTCGGATTGAGAATCTACCCCATCTGGAGCACACTCTTTCATGGCTTTGAGTGTGACACAGATGAGACCCCTCATCCTGTAGTCATACTACTTTAGCTGCTGAGCTTTATGTCCTCTGATCCCCAAAGGCCCAGGATCTAGCATCTGTGGGGCCAGGTGTGGAGGGTGGGAAGCTAGCTGACATGTCTGGACCCCAGGCAATGCAGACCCCACAGAACCGACTGCACTGAGGTCTGGCACCTTCCAGGGCTGTTACTTGGAATCTAGGGTATGGTCCCTGATAACCCTGGAACTTGTAATATTCTTCCCTTCCAAGTGAAGTAGACATAGGGGGAACATGCATATGCTTACCTGGACTCTATAATGAACATTTTTCTGTATCTGCCTCATCACACCCCATTGATCTTTCACTCTATCCAGAAATATTAGATCTCTTTCCCATCCGGGCACTAACCAGGTCCGACCCTGCTTAGCTTCCAAGATCAGACAAGCTCTGGCACGTCCAGGGTGGTATGGCTGTAGACTAATATATATTTTTAAAACTGTACTTCAAAGTAAGTTTTGGTCACCAGTATGATTCTTTTCTATCAATTACTGATACATTTCAAAGATAAGCTCTGACTTCAGGGTATTTTTAGAAGTAACTCTGGTGTTAACTCATTTTGTAGTAAAAAAAACTGATGTTATTCACTGCATTAGTTACCTTTTAACCTTGCTAAATTACATGTTGCTAGTCAAGCCACAAGCTACAGTGAGAGGAAAAGACAGGAAAAAAGAAAGCGATATTCATTAAGACTGCATGAGAACTTGCCTCACTGCACATATTACCACTTCTTGGGCAATGGTCCATTGAATATTTTGTTTTTAGACTTTGTCCACATCCCAAACATAGCAAGCTACAATTATTGTTTGAGCACCACTCTAAATGACCTTGTAGAAAAGAATGTCAAACAGAAATAAATCTGCATTTCCTTAGGGCTCAAATGCCATATCTTTAACTTAATTATTGTACAAATAAGCACACTTCTTTTATTTGATGTTATGGATTATATGTGAAAAG